AGAAAGCCAGCAAGTTTCATGGGGAACCTGTCCTCCTGGAGGCAGCCATGGAAAACCTCCATGGAATAGCAGGAAGGTGTGCTGCTGTCTCTATAAAGAGCAGAGGAAGAGACTTTTCTTTACACTAGCTAGCATCTTACATGCAGTAGTGTATTATTTCGTTTCTGTTCTCAAAGAAAGAAGGTTGATCGCTGAAGAGCTTAGGCAGCAGTGAGAAAAAGGTCATGGAAGCAATGAAATGCACTACAGACTGGAAACAGTACATGTATGGCTTTAGACCTTGTACAAGCTCTCGAGTAGAGCTGCAAAGCCGCTTTCTAACATTGAGATAAATATCAAATACAGAACTCCTAACAGTGTAGATATAGCCAGCTAGCTGAGTTAAATCATTTACTTCCCCTTGAAGGGAAGTTAAAACAGCACGATATCTACCAGTCATTGTACAGCCTGGATCAATTTTTCTCATGTGGCTGACTACTTGTAGCCAGTATAAGGTATTTCAGATTGCCAGTACACTATGCAGCATCAGTGGAAACCACCACACCTCAGGACACAATTTTACTGCACTGCAGAATTAGGTGCTTTGAAATAGAGAAACCAAACTGACAGCTGTAAACAGTGACACTTTGTCATTAACAGGGAGTAGTACAGAGCAATCAGCTTGCTTCTAGAATTTAAATCCTGCAAGTAGGAGTAGCTCCACCATTTTTCAACAATGGCTTTTTCCATCAGCCCTTCTGCACTTTTACCCAAAGGTGTTAAGGGTTGAAAATGGAGCCTGGTTGTAAGTCTTATGGAACCTCTTTGTTTGTAACACAACCAGCTGTCTCACTGCAGTGAATACAGACTCTTCCCATTCAATTACCTCATGGTATTTCTGTTGAGCCTAGTCCAACAATCCTGCTGTCAGGCTTTACATGTTTGTTCCACACCCTCCCTAGTTTGGTCACACATTCCTAAAATTAAACAAAACCACAACCAACTCTAATATCTGAATAACTTCATTTAGTTCTTCAGCACAATGGTAAAGAATCACTTTAGATATCTTACCCAAGCAATAAAAGCGGCTATGATATGCTTTCTTCAGCTCAAAAAAGCCCACATTATTCAAGAAGCTGTTGCACTTTAAATTTGTCAAGCAAGAAATATGTATTCAAGCATCCACTTTACCAGAGTTAGCATCTGCTACTTTAACACAGTTACTTTCAGTGAAAGATGTGTTTTCCCAGGCTACAGTGAAGTTAGCTGCACTTCCCACCTTCGCATCTGCTACTTTAACACAGTTACTTTCAGTAAAAGATGTGTTTTCCCAGCCTACAGTGAAGTTAGCTGCACTTCCCACCTTTGAATTCAAGAGCCAAGAGCTACTTTTACTCTTTGTACAGGTGTAATTTTGGCTCTCAGCTTCTATGTTATTAATATGTTAAGTTTTAAAAGAAAAGAAAATAGCTATTTTAAATTGATATTTAAGAAAATAGCAGTTTTGAGACACACCAGCCCAAGGTTTTTTCCTGCCCCCTAAACTATACCCAGGTAGGATAACAAATCCTTTCACTTAAAATCTGCTTTGTCTTACCTTTAGATGGTCATGGTCACAATCTTAACGCCAATCTATTACCATTCTCTTTTGGCAAGGCTCAGCCTTTTCTTAAAAGCCTGCCAGACAGAGTCATGGCATGGTTCACTTCAGGTGTCGTGCATCTGCCATAGCCCCTCAAGGAAAAAGGGGGCTTTTTCACAAAGTTTTCTGCAACTGAGCGAAAAAACAGGTTTCCAGAGTTGCAACCCATCATAGAGTCATTGTCCCCATTTTGGTGGAAACCAAAAAAAGGAAGCACGAACAAGGCAGTACATAAAAGCCCTAGAAAAAAGGAGCAGAAACAGCAGCGCAGTGGATTGGCTCTGGCCCCAGTGCTGCTGCCATGGATTTCTGGAGAAGGTAGGGGAGGTCTTCATGCAATCCACAAAAGATTTGCACAGTGCTTTGCCTTTTTCCCCCCTTTATTTTGGACATGGCACTAGTGATAAAGCAGTTTTTGTAGGAAAAACATCTAGGGGGACTCCTGTTGATCAAAGATGCCAGTGCCTATGAAGGAAGATGTCTTATTGTACAGTGCATCAGATGTTTATTTTTATATATACATAGGATTTTTTTCTATGTTTACAAATTAAGTTATTTATATATGCTTGTTTTTATATGCTATCAAAGCTAAGTTTTATTTTTATTGGTATTGAATTAATGTAACTTTTTTTTTAATACAATCTTCAATTGATACTAAAAAGCCTATTTATATGAATGTTTTCTGTTGCAAATATAACATTTTATGGTACCTGTTAACGTACGGCATTGGTTTGTTTGGAAGGAAGAAATAAAAACCCAGCAGATATCCAATTTATTAATCTACAACAGGCAAAACCCAACTTCCTGTAAGTTACTGCTGAGCAGTAGATGATCAAACCAATTGTATTGTACCACCTTACTGTTGCATCGCTGCTCTTAATCAAGATTGCTATTTTCATATCCACAATAAATGGTATTTTCTACACAAGAAAAGTTGCCCCACGTTATTTTGCTCTAGCTAAGATCCCCATCTATGGAACTGGATGGGAGAGATACCATAACGGCTAACTTGGCATGAAAGATGTAGGTCTCCTACTTACCTGCGGAGGAACATGCATGGCATACGAATTCGTGGCACAAGAGCCAAGCAGCCAGTCACTGCTTAAATTTGGTTTCTGTGGCGCAGTGCCTTGTCCCCTTGCAAAGGGGTTATTTTTGTTTTGTTTTGAAACAAGGTACTGGCTGAAGGTTCTTCCCGAGTCCAGTTACAACAGCTCCAACCAGAACATCCAGAAGGAAGTTAATATAATGCCATTTTTCCTCATTTTCTTCTGAGGGTTGTGAGTTTGTAGTAGGAAAGACTGTTGGAAGGCCACACAGAAGGCGGCAAGACCTAGCTGGCTGTGAGCTCTCTCCCTGCTGCAGCACCTCTGGCACTACAGCAAGAGGCAGCGCACAGGGAACAGGTACAACACTTGAAGCCCTCGCACCCAGAGGAGTCCACCAGCCCAGCGGGGCTGCACAGATTCATGCATCCTCATGAGAGTGGTCCCATTGCTGAGTATCCCTAGGCAGAAAACAGTGTGCTATACACTTGTTCCTAAGGTCTAGTTACGAAGCCAGGTGTCTGCCTGTACAGAGCAACCAAGGCTGAGTACCATGGGATGCCCAGGACCTAGACTCAAGACTTGAACATGGAAATGAGTGTTTCTTACCTGCTGGTTCCCACTGAAGAACTGCCTGCCTTCTGCCCCAAAGGGCACAATTGTGCTCTCTGGATGAATTAAACTGCTCCTGGGGCCTGGTGGCCTTTTAAATAAAAATTTCCAAGCATGTTGTATAAGAAACAGATAATTCAGGTATGTCGAGTTCATGAAAACAGCCATGGCCATGGTATCTGCAAACAATTTTGCAATACCTAAATAAAGTCAGTTCAGCACCTTTTTTATCATTATAGATTCCAGCTTCCTACCCCTTCCACCACCCCCCTTATAAAACAAAGTTATATTTCAGTATAAGCAGAGCAAGCAGCAGGCTGGACAGGACAGACTCCTGTACTTTCTCTGCCCCATGCTTTGTGGCAAGGCACCTTCTTTTGTACTTCGCCCCAGTACAAAGAGGTTATGTATCAACAGCCTGAACACAAACCAGCACATTTAATCATGTTTATTATCACAACCAACAACTTCAAATGAGATCTGCAGCAAAGTGTCACCTAGTACTCAGCCTCAGGGAGCAGGTATGGTATGATACAGTGGTGTACTTCCAATTTCAATTTGTATTACCATGTCCTCGCTGCATACACAGCACGCCTACTTCTGGGGACCCTCTGCTTCATTCACATGGAAAAACCCTAAAAGATGAGGCATGCAGATGGAATGTGCCAAATCTTTCAATAGCGAGCTTCATAACCAAGTCAAGAAAAATGTCAGTACAGTTCACTGATGTGCCGCTCTGGTTTCTCGCTATCAATCAATAGATTTTAACAGAAGCCAGAGTTCTACCTAATTAGTCCTTAAATCACTGACTCCATGGTGTTACCTTTTACTCACCTTAAACAGAGAAGAGGTAAGTTGATTAGCAAGCTAAAAAGCCCTGGGCTTCACTTTGTCCAGGTGTTGTTCTTACATGAACACAGCATTTGCTTTCTGGAAAAAGCTGCACTAATAGAACACTCCTAGACAAAAGGAAATAATATCCTCATTGCTGGGAGGGTGTGGGAATCCCATGAGACAGCTAACGAGCACCTAATCATATTCTGCTAATGACCAGCAGTCCCTACCACAAACCCCAGTATAAGGAAATTTTGGGGGGGTGGCTGGGAGGCCACTCCCTTGGTATTGAGCTATCTGCAAGGGCAGAGAACGCCCACTGTCCTCCACAAAAAGGATTCCTTTCAAAGCCACCTCTCCAGAGGATGTAACAATGCTTTGTCACCGCTTCTCTCTCTGTTCTTCCAGGCTGTAGTATTCTTGCTGCAGCACCTCCTGTCTGATAAAACCCAAACTCAAGGCCAGAAGGATTATTTAAAAAAAAAAAACACAAACCAAAAAAAAACAGTGAATAGCAGCCAGATGCCATTTATGTTCACATACTATAAAAGTGTCTTAAAAAAATACTGTCATCTGTCTTCAGTAAAAAATATAAACAGATGTCTCCCTTATTTCTATTAAAAACCCCGGGAAATTACAAGTTCTGTTTCCAACAAGACATGGAAAAACACTTAAGTATCAACATCCTTTAAGAATACTGCCATCAATGTTCTGGTGTATATATTTAATATGGTTTAACTTTTAAAATTAGTCTTAAAAAAATTAAAATCAAACCTTCGAAATTGAGCTTACAATGAAAAATAAATATAGGCTCATCTCCATGTCATACAGGTTCACCTCTCCCCTCCCCTGACAGTCCAGTCTTTGTTAAAAGACAGCATGAGAAATCACTTTAAGTTAAGAGAAGAGGCAGCCACCAGGAGAGCCACCACCTTCTGAGCATGACATAACTTGTCCACTTGAATCGATTCCTGGGTTTGGTCACAGCCTGTTGCTGCGCAAATACAAAAAGCGTCCATGAGCCTAGAAAACGGCTGCTCTGAGCCATGATCAAGGTGCGTAAAGGACTTTTCACTTGGAGATCCGTTTGCTGATGTAAATCCTTCAGCATAGTCACCACGGCAAAACATCCACGAACAGAAAGACCAGTGCAGGTTTTGCACAAAATGACCTCTCATCTGCAGTATGCTCCCAGCAAAGAGCTCACAACGCATTCAGAAACACTAAAAATGCCATTTGCATCTTCATTAGTAATTTTTGTCCACCTCCACTAACTTTGTGCTGCCACGGTACCTAGAGATTGTCTGGTCAGCTCACAAGGGTTAGTCCTGGGCTCTTCTATATGATGTTCTGATACAAATACTCTGGACAGCATTTCCAGTTCTTTTAAGAAATCCTGTAACAAACAGATACAAACCGGAGAACCTTTATTAACAAATGTCAACAAAGAGGTTTAATTTTTCTAGTAAAGAACTTTACAAGGTTAAACATTGTTGCTGATGGTTTTCCAGTGCAGAAATCTAGACGAGCTACAAAATTGATTGTAAAGATGAACGCCTGTAGGTCTGTGTGTTCCATCTCCCCTCTAATCCCCATACCCTTCTCGGAAAAGATCACTGCCACAGTTTAAATGGTTAAACATCTCCAAGATGCAAGCGCTCACCAGCCTTGAAATACTGTCTGCTTTTTAGCGGGGGATTTGGGCAGTTTCCCACATTTTGACTCTGGCTAGGATAGTCCGACTCCTCTCACATTCTGGTGGCAGGAGGCAAAGAGCTTTTGAATGCAAGTCTGGTCAGTTAAGATCCTTCCCAACATGTTGTTCTCAGCTGGAGCCGGGCAAACACGTTCAGGCTAGAACTGATTGCTGGTAACGGGGCCAGCTAGTCTCCAAACTGGTTTACAGTTTTCTTGGAAATGTTTCCACTGCACGGGAAATGCTGAGATTCTCACAAGTACTCATTTCAACCAAACACTGAATAACAGCAACAAGCTTGGAAGCCAGCCCTGCTGCTGCATTAAGCAGGAACTATAGATAGGGAAGGTTATGGGCTTCATCTACATGAAACAGAACTACAAGGATTTACTGTTTATGTGGATTTACTGTTTATGTAGCTTTACTTTTTATTTCACTCAATTGTTTACACACATATCTAATTACTTACTGAGGGCCAAGGGAGCTCTTTGAGGCTATGCAAGCAACTCTCTATTTCACTATTTCTCATTAGTTCATGTTCTACAAGACCACGAAGCACAAAAAGGAACAAATCCCACTGCAGAAGAGAAAAAAAAAAATCAACAACTCAAAGAAATGGATTTTGTGTTCGTTTCTTTATCCCTATACAATTCACGTTTTTCTTCTTGGATCACAATATGGAGAAAAGGAGCAAAAGGAGAAAGCACATTATTTATCTGGGTGTGGAATGAAGGACAAAGAGCAACATCCAAAATGAGGAAGAAAATTCCTTCAGTTCATACATTGTATCCTACCATAAAGTTTCAAAATTTCTAACCCTCAGACACCAAGTATTTAATTCCTGTGTGTTCAAGAACAGCTTGAAGACCTCTTCTCTTACCTTCTGAAATAAGCTGGTTTTAGCCTGCAACTAAATAGGGTTCATAGTTGGGGATCTTTTAACACCCACATGCATGCAAAAAGGAAAGCTGACAAAAGATGCACAAACACAACCAATTACAAAGTCACATATGTTCAGTCCTCAATCTCCCAGGCCAAATGGGCCTTCTTGCCATTTCTTCCTAAATTAAACTGTGCCTTCCTGACAGCCTCCCAGACAGGTATCAAACACGGACAAGTAGTCCATAGTCCTCTTTTTCTCGACTCCTGCAGAAACATTGCCAGTTAACAGCAGAGCAAATCCTGCTGGCCTTGTTCACACAAGCCATCAGTTAACACTGCAGGCAGGCACAATTCCTACACGAATGTGTCAGAGCAGAGTGCGTAACTGGCAGCTCCACGGATCGGAATAAGCTTTACCTCTCGCTGCTTAACTTCTGCAAGATAACCTATGTTCTTCTTGCTGAAGATGAGCTGCACAGGAACAGGTGTCCCAAAGTCCTCCCTCCAGACAGAAAGCAGCAGTTTTAGAAGGCCATAGGTGAGATTATTCTTTACACACAGCCCCTCCGAGCGCTTCTCTGGGGACTTGATCCCAAGACTCAGAGGAACACGATCTGAAACTGTAAGAAAAGGAAGAAAAGTGAACTTCTATAGCCACATTGTCTTCCTTTTATAGTCATCATCTTGGTCCAACAGCACATTTTGCATAGCTTAGTGAGTGTAAACCAGCGATCTTAAGAGGACTGGAGTTTAGAAACATGCAAAATTATGAGCTCTGAAACTATACAAACAAGTATTACACTGGAAGAGATTTATACTACTTAGATAAAGAATACCATGCGGTTGGCATATAGCCCCAAGTCTTGAAAGATGACTGCCTAAAAGCCAGCCTCATGTTTAATAAAAGACAACCTAGGTGTTACTCCAAAGGAGAGGAGAGCAACCCAGTAAAACAACATTTAAATCTATAAACAGATTAAAAACTTGTTCATAGTTTTGACTGTAGGCAGAGTTGCATAACTTCATACAAGTTAAACTGAACAGTATTTAACTGCAGCTAAACATACAGAGAGGGAAGATACCAGATCTTCCTTGGTACGGAGTAATGGAGTGGGGCAGATTTACATTGCTGCCCCCCAGAATGAAATTTCATAACATTCAGATGTGAACTGCTTTCTAAAAGAATGAACCATGTATAAAACTTCTTAAGAAGGTTCTAAAACCAGGAAATTACAGAAAACACCTGCATCTAGATCACTAGCTCCTGAGAAAAACATTGTATTTAACACATTCGAGCAAGAGGAAAAAAAACCTGAAAATGCTCACAGAAGTCACAATGCACAGAAAATGGGTTACTTCCATTCTCCCCAAAAAGAGCCATAAAAATATAATTTAAGGGAACAGGCCCTTACTTTTAGGGAAGAAAAAAAAAAATTCTGCTGCAAACTTTCAGAAGCAGAAACACTGGAAAACATATCACATGTTTAAATGAAGGTATCAATAAATAAAAAACAATGGAGAAGTGAATAAAACACCAGATCTCGAGGATGGTTAGTCACAGTATAACGCTGTTTTGCAGAAGATGGAAGGGAATAGGAGCAACCACCCAAATTGACAGAAAAAAATCTGCAGACTCAATGACACCAAAGAAAATCAAACATCTGTGAGCTCCAAATACTGAAGTCTCTGACCCCAAGGATTTAAGAGAACTGTAATAACAGATTTCAGTCTGAAATAGCTTATCGCAAGTGACTTACCCAGCAAAGAAGCCAGCTCAACCGTGCACTTTGCCAGCTGCTGTTCTGATGTGGGACATATAAACTGGAAAACACAAGAAAAAGTTATATCTTTATCCCCATGCTGCAGGCTGGACAAAACAGGGCTTCACAAGGGATAAAAATATCAAAGAAGAGCAGGCAATTTACAGCAACAAGCACAAGATCTGTATCAGGACACCATTAAAGACTGAAAGACAAGAAAAGATCATATATGAAAAGGGGATCCACAGAGGCTAATTTTAAGTAACAAGCAGATCTACACAGCATAAAAAAATGCAGTGCAACTTTGTCACATTTGAGCTCAGACAAGTGAGGCAAGGCAAGCTAACAAGTTTACAGGTATGAAGACAGCTCAAAGTGGTCCAAGGGGGTTTTTGTTGCTTTTTTACTTCTACCTTTCTGCATCGAAGTGTCTGACTCAATCTTCCTAGCAGGCACTCCAGCCAGATGTAGTCAATCACTTCACCATCATCCCGCGGGCCCACAGCAACACAGAGCACATCCTTGATGAAAAAGACAGCAGTAATTCAGCTATTAGTATCCCATACTTCCACAAACAGATCTTTGGACCTATGACAGAGCAGTTCATAGATAATACTCAGGTCCTCATTAAAAAAAACAAAACCAAAAACCCAAAAATTAAGCTAGTATCCTCCTCGTTTCATAAGATAGTTTAAAGCTGAATTTTTTACCACCTTACCTAGGTCTGATGTTCTACCATAGTTCTCACTAATGTTATGAGGCCAAAGTCAATGAGGGCAACCAGTTCATCCTTCTTAAAAGTAACTAGCTCTGAAAGCTCTAGATAAATCTGATAGCGCAGCAACCGAGTTCAGGGTAGAAGTGCTACAGAGATGCAGAGCCCTCTTATATTGTCAAGGTAGCTGCAGTGTCAATAAAAGCTGAGTATGAAGAGCACTAATAGGGTTATGGCATGAAAACTGGTTTAACAAATTTTACATATTGTAGCACTTTCCATCACCAGCAATTTATCCCCCAATATCAGAAACCCAGGATGGAAATCAAAAGGATAAAAAATATTTTTAAAGCTGTACCTCAAGATGTCATACAAAAATATTTTCAAAAAGCTACAGTTTACAGAAGAAAAACCACCCTGGTTTCCTCACATACTTTACCCTCCTCTTTTTATTTTATCTCAAGCAAGAAAGCGTTAAAGGATATATACTCATTCTTATACAATTGTTGGGAATGCGACGACAGTGAGATCCAGTATTATTGCTCAAACAGATAAGAAGCAGCAAAAAAAAAAAAGGAAGAATATATAATGGTAAAAAAAGTGAGATTTTTAGCATTCTTTTCATCATAGGTTACTCGCACAGGGTATATAACTGCATGATTTTTACAAGAACAGTGACCTTTTTTAAAAGCCTGGGAGAACAGATCAAAGTGTAATTTGAAGCAGCTTGAATAGAAAATTTCTTGGATCTAAGGCTGAAGTTAAGTCCATACCATCACCCTCTTTTTAAGGTATTCTGATTCTCCCTAATTATAGCTGAATGAAGGCGCAGATGCAGACTGGCAAAAATCTTTCCACAGATTCATCTGACAATTCAATGTAGAAATCCTAGTCTATAAGATGGGTTAGTCTGTCAAGTTCTACAGTACTGAAAGGACCAACAGGAAATACTTACTCTAAACAGAGACCAGGTGACTCTCCATAAAATGAGTATGTCTACAAAAAAGTAGCTATTTTGGTATGCTGACTCTTCAGCATATAGTTGTACACAACACTCACCACACTAAGGTTTCCATGCTAGCTGTATCAAAAAGGCGATTGCTATGCCAGCAGAAATCCTGTATTAGGGATAGTACTCCTGACCAGGGAACTCTGATCTACACACAGACAGTGAGCAGGAAAAAAAAAAAAAAAAAAACGAGACCCTTCCATCCTGCTTCCTCAATACTCCTCACAGCCAGTTCCTTAGAACCAGAACATGCCACTTCAAAGAAACAAACAAACAAACAAAACCAAAAAAACCCCATGAAGGTGAAAAATAAAAAGGGAGTTGGGGCAAGCCAGGAAGTGAACACTATCTACCTTAATCTCGTTGATGATTTGGGAAGGAAATGGAGCACAGTGCTGACAGCCTGGAGGGCAGTCCCTTCTCAACTCCAGAGCATCCTCGCCGGGCAAGGGAAGTCCTGGGACTTTCAGCATTCTGTTGAAGGTTGCCTTCACTTCTCTTTTGATCAGTGCTACAAAGAACAGGAAACAAATCATGTCTACTTCAGCTTTTCTCTCCAGTGAGGCAGGCAACTGTTTCCAAACACTACCCTTATCAGCCTCTCATTCCGAGGGCCATGGCACAGCTCTAAAAGGCAGCCACAGCTCTAAAAGGCAGCCACCCATTGCCACCAGGTACCGCTGGCAACTCATCTCATTTTCCATCAAAATATTTCAGTCAGTTTAATGAACACAGTAGCTAAGCCAGGAAGCAAAGCCAAAGTAGAAGGCTGAATCAGCATGATCATACCAGTTCAACCACTGTGCCCATGAAAGCCATATGTTTTCTACCAAAATAAGTTTTGACTAGCATCCAAAAGACTAAACTGTGCAAATGGTGCTGGATACTCCTCCCCAGATTCTTGGCACAACCTCCTGAACAATGGATTTTCAGAGATTCTGAAGAGTTGCCAGGGCACTATTACAGAGTAAAAGGACTACAGTTGCCTTCAGCCTGCTGAAAACACACCCAGTCCCAGAGGTGTTTGTTTTACAGAAGATTTCAGAAGCACTCTGTACATGTGGACCATAAGGCGGCTTGAGAGAGCAGCTGTCTCTATCATACATTTGAAGTGCTAAGACAACTTCAGCCTAGATAACATTTTGAGAAGAAGCTTTCCACAGCATTCATTCTCACCATCCTACGAGCCTCCGTAACTAAAAATCACTTACATGGGCCAAGCCTGAAAAATCCCTGAAGAAGGTTCTTGGAGCTAGAAATCATTCCTCTTATTCCTAAACAAGGAGGGACAGAGCAACTGCATGCTTCCCACTAAAAGAAAAATGAGTAGGACCAAGTACTTTATAACACTGGAATAAATTCTACCCCTTGATCTCAGAAAAAGAGTACAATATACAGATTAGAAGCCCCAGTTCAGGGTAAGGAGACTCACCTGCAATGTTGGCAGAAAGCCAACCGCAGGCTTTCTCAGTAGCCAGTTCCACTGCAATGTCTTCCGCACTACTTAAAACCTTTACAGGGAGGATAACAATGATAGGAGATTTACTACCAAGCACAGCACTACAGTCAGTGAGAAGTCAGAAGGAAGTCCAGAGGGAAAAGGCTTAATTTTGGCATGCAACATTTAAACAGAGCACCACCACCTTGTGGGAACTGCTACTCTGAGCAACAGGACTGACCCACTTTGATTTCCCAAACCTCATCAACCCCATACAAACCCCATCAACTCTTGGGGAAGTTGATGCTAAAACAAAAGCATTATCCTTGCAAGATGAATGCTATTTATATACCATTCTAGTCTCAACAGTTAGCTATTGGCTAGGGTAATACTTCAGCCAGAATATCCCAGGCAGCCTGGCAGAGGTGACTCTCCTTAGCTACTAGTCCTCACAGGAGGGCATCAATAGATTCCATTGTCCTAAGCTATTAAGGAGTAAGTGAAACAGCAACGGAAAAATGGTAACAGTCCAGACTTAAAGTCAGGGCCTTTAGTAGTTTTAGTGAAAATACATACTGCTGCAGATGTCTCTTCTGGCAATAACACCCTTACCGCCTCAGGACCTTTCTTTTGGCAAAATCTGAAAAAAAAAAGAAAGAAAGTGTGTCATGGGATTAATCAAAGTTCTTGGACAACACTCACAGGTTCATTACCGTAAGAACTTTCACACGCTCTCCTACAGTCAAAACCAGCTGGAAGACTGCAGTGAAATTAAGTCAGACCAAAAGAACTAGACAAGGAAAAAGCAACTACAAGCCATCAAGCTGCAATACTCAGTTTTCCAAAGAGGAGAAATACAACAGCTGCAGTGGATGTCTGTTTGGAGCTGGATGCAGAGGGAGACACAGCACCTTTATTCCTTCCTACAAATACGGCATTAACTGGCTGGAGGTGCAGCACAGAGTCACCCTAAGAAGAGCAGAGGTCAGGGTTTATAGTTACCAGAACCTGAGCATGACAGACCAAGCTGAATTAGGCTTACAGGTTCCGCAATATGAAGAGATGGGAAGATGCAAGTTTAAATAACTTTTCCTCCTTACTCTTTGCCTTTGACGAGTGCCTGGGCCCCTTCCTCATATAGATGAGCGCACACCTCTTCAAGCAGCTTGTCATGATTAGCATCCTCCTCCTTCACTCTATCCTGCAACATGACTTCAGCCCTTTGAACCAACTCTGCTACCAGTGTTGCCCTGTAAAAAACCAAGATCAGACAGACTGAAATCAATACAACAAACAGTGCACGTCAACTGTAACCAGCTGTTTCCCCCAATTTAGGAGGATACCCATCTCTCTCAGGCACAAATGCAATAAACTACTCTGCTAAAAAAAAGAATTAATCACACTGCATTTAGTACTGTACCAGGTCCTTGTTCTTTTTGTAAGGAAGCAAGTGGCAATGAAGATATCAAAACACTAGTAAGACTCAAGAGCCAAAAGCCTTTAGGTTTTAACAGAAACGTATATGGCCTTCTGCCATTCAGGACTGTGACAAGCTGGAGAAATGGACTGACAAGGCAGTGGTGACCGTGTACCTGTACAGGCTGGGGTCCACTGGCTAGGGAGCAGCTCTGTGGAAGAGGATCTGGGGTTCCCAGTAGACAAGCTAAATGAGTTAGCAGTGCCCAAAGGTAGCCAACCTTAAACTGGGCTGACATTAGCAAGAGCGCAGCCAGCAAGTCAAGGGAAGTTAGTGCCTCCCTCACCACTGTGAGGCTGCATCTGGAGTACACTGCCCAGCTTTGGGACCCCAGTACAACAAAGCTGTTGACAATTTGAGAGACTGCAGGAGGAAAAAAAAAAACGAAAACATCACTAAGATAGTAAGATAGCTGGGATGCTGGAGCACATAACCTACAAGGAGACTGAGGGAGCCAGTCTCCCTTAGCCTGGAGAAGAGAAGGTGAGGGGAGAAGGAAGAGGTATAGAGAAGACAGAACAACGCTTCCAGAAGCGTGCAGCTGAAGGTTGACAGGCAACATGCACAAGCTGGAACAAGGGAAACTCTGATAGGATATAAGGAAGCATTTTTCACAAAGCCCAGGAAAATTAAGCACTGGAACATGGTACTAAGAGGCTCCTGAATCCCCATCCTTAAGTCTTTCACAACTCAGCTGGAAAAGGTGCCAAGCAACCTGACCTAACTTGAAAGCTGGCCCTGCTTTAAGCAGGGGTTTGGATCAAATGACCTCCAGAGGTCATTTCTGACCTGATATTTTCCTCTCATTAGCAAGAATGTTCTGAAAAGGATATAAAGTCTCAGAATAATGCTGTATTATGTTCAAATTCCAAGCATCCTACAGTCATATAACCCTTCTCTTCGCATCCCTTCACAAATTCCCCTCTCTGATGGCAAGCAGATGTTACTGGACCCCACTGTCACAGCCTCATATAGCCCTGGTGTTCTGCTATACAGCGTACTCTGAGGAAAGCTTTCTTTCCCCCATACATACAATTTTATAGGATCAACCCTGCCTCATTAGGTCACAGAACAGATCACTAGCACTTACTTGATGTGCTTGACACAGTTGGATCCCACCCTCTCTGCCACAAATTCAACTGTTCTCCGTAGGGAGGGAGGCTGGTTGTGGAAGAAAGCCTGTTCCAACTCTACCTGTTCAAGAGAAAAGTGCTACAATTTATTAGAGCACTCCACCCAGATCCTCCGCTCCCCAACAACAGAATGGACAGAACTACCATCTGGAGTTGTGCTAAAAGGCACCCTATTTGCCTACACTAGAACTTTCTGCCACAGTAGCATTCAGCACCCCTGTAAAATATTTGCTCCCTAATTTCCTTTAACCATTTAACCCAAAGCTCATTATCAGGGTTTATGAAGCTACAAATGCAAATGCCCAGTAAGGGGAAGAATGGGAGCGTTCTGACAGCATCTCCTAGTAGTGATTCACCACATAGGGTTTGTTTCTGGAAAGGAAGGATCCTCTCGTAATTACAGGTTGGTAATCCTGTAGGCTCCTACACAGTTTGTTC